GCGAAGCAGCTTTTTATTATAACAGGAGAGAACTTCGCGGTTTCGTGTGGTAAAGGGACGTATTGCTTTTCTATCGTGCTCCTGCGGACGACTATGGAACTTTCGCAAAATCGATGTAATGCATGCACCCTGTATAAAGTGTCGTTCACATCTCGTCGAACTCCAAAGTTACAGCAAACATCGGTAAATATTAAAATTTGCACAAATAATAGCGTTGTCGAATGATATTTTTTCAAATATCTCGCTCCCTGTATGATTGAGGAAACCTGAAACTATCTCTCGACGCCTTTACAATACTGTTCAAATAAAATTATCCCATCTTTAACGGTTTTTCATTCATCGCCAATAATGTATCCACAAAAACGGAAATTTTTAGGATCTTTTAGATTTTTTCCCCATCAACCCTGACTCAAATATTGTTCGAAGTAGTGGTTATAGCCCTGGATCTTCCACGTTCCCTGGTCCAAGAATTTTTTAAAAATAGTAAATGGTTTTCGAGAAAATAACTTTTTTCTGAAACCGTGCAGTCCGCCGTTATAATTAATGACGTCATCGCGTCTTGACAGTCCCCGAAATAGAGATTTCAATATATAGACGAAAACCGCAAATACAAAAATTGTAGCTCTTGATGCGGCCTATGACACTGTTCGAACCGATTATAAGTTTAAGTTAGAACAAACAATGCTGGAGAACTTTTTTTTATTTTAATAAAATAATATGCCGACATCAGATTGGAAGGAAAATAAATGTTTCAGCTACTTAAGAGTGTTACATATCCCTACTAATTTGGAGGGTATATGGAATAGATGTTTGAGCAAAAGGAACACTCAATGGGAGTCGAGAATGAGTATGAAAATAGAAAAGAAACATTTTTATTGTGTTGAACTATCTTGAACTTTAACCAACACAAAAACCAATATTACAGCATAAAAAATTCACCAGTATTTCACTTATTTTTTGTATTTTGCTTGGTTTTGCAGTTTGTATATATTTTTATAAATATGTTATACATATTTTTACAATTACAGTTACAATTAGATTTTTATTTTTATTTATTTAGGTCTCCGTACAACTCAGTACTTTGTTACTGACACTACTATGCTTTTTTCGCGTTTAGCTGACCTTCTAACACTAACTTGTTCGGTGGGGCTATTTTTCATCGATTCGGTTTTAGTTCAAAAATCACGTGCAATCTCGCCGTATTTCGTTGCAGATGGAATACTTGCAATCGATCAAACGAAATGGCCAATTAAGGCCGCGCGAACAGTTTAGCAGCAATTACTGAAGCGCACGAAATTGATCAGAAATAGCCGGATATTGCACGAGGAAAATATAGGCGGGAAATGCATTTCCTCCTTTCCAGACGACGCTCTGACTGTCGCCAGCCCAGTTTGCATCCGAATATTGAATCCTATAATTGAATTAGGAGCACCCCCAGTAAAATGCGCAATTGCCAAATTAAGCGTCCATTTTGAGTATTATTAAGGAACTCTTTATTCATTTCCAGTTTGTACACAAATGAATGTCACAATGTTCATAAGAGTGAAATTTGTGGAAAAAAAACATTTTTCCACCATTTACTAACATTATCTTGAAGAAAAGTTTCCTAATATTTAATATTTGTTATAATTTTATATTTATATTTTAATATTTAATTATGCATTTAGCAACATTTGAAAAAAGTTAAAAAAAGCTAATAAATGTTATTTATATGTCTGTAAAGAAGATTGAAAGAAGAATGCCTTTTTAAGGGCGGAATGGAAAAAAAATACGGTTTGAGATAAACTGGGACACGTTTTATACCATATAATATAAAGTATACTCTGCTCAGAGACTGCTGGAGGAGGAATTTCATTAATTAATAGTTGCTAACTTAATTTTCTATCCCATTATAACAAGGGATGATAAATTATAGTTAAGACATCCCGGGCGTGATATGTATATGTAATCAATACTGCTACAATGACCGAATATAAAGGGAAATAGAAATTTATTTTTTTTTCTAATTTCTTTATCATATGACATCAGAGGATGATCCATAACTTATAATTGCGGCACCACGGATATGTAATATAAGACAGCTTCTCTCCATGTCCAAAATAATGGAAGTATAATTTTTTTCTGACTTATTAATATAATTTTTCCACCTCTTTTATCATTGGAGACAAACAGATTGATTATATTTTATAGCTGAGGTGTCCTCTGTCCAGGTGCTATTGATTCGAATGTCTTATATAAGAGTGGAATATAAAAGATAATATAACTTAATTGTTTCTTTCTATTTTCTTTACCATATGAGATAAGACCATAATTTATAGTTAAGGAATGATGCCTCCTGCAAGGTGTTATTTTATCGAAGGCCCTGTATAATTGCACAATATTCAAAATAATGGAATTTTTCTTCTTTATTATTTGAGACAAAATGATGGATTATAGTTTATAGTTGAAGCACCCTGTGTCCAAATATTATTGATTCGAATCCCTTTTATAACGACCGAATATAAAAAATGTTGTATTTTTTTTAGTTTCTTTATCATATGATATAAAGCCATAACATACTTGCATATGTAATGTATGTATGTAATGTGATGCCATGTATTACTTTTTGAAGGCCCTGTATAATTGCACAATTTCCAAAATAATAGAATTTGTGTACTTCTCATTTGAGGCAAAAGGGTGGATTATAGTTTATAGTGGAGGCACTTTGCATAAGAGATCCTTTGTTTAGATGCTATTGATTCGAATAGCTTTTATAAGGGCAGAATACAAAAAATAATAGAATTTAATTGTTTCTTTCCTAATTTGTTTGCCAGGATGGACTATAAATTGTACTTAGACCCACATGCATATGTAATGTAAGATTCCTCTCTTCAGGTACTATTAATTCAAAGGCCCTGTAAACTACAGAATATGAAAAATAATGAAATTCTATTTCTTTTCTGACTTAAGAATCGAATTTTTATACCTCCTTTAACATTTGAGACAAAAGCATGGAAATAGCTCATAGTTGAGGCACACTGCATAAAAGACCCTCTGTCCAGATACTATTGATTCGAATGTGTTTTAGGACACAATATGAAAAATAATAAAAGTTATTTGTTTTATTCTAGTTTCTTTACCATATAAAATAAGACCATAACTTGTAGTCAAGGCGACATGGATATGTAGTGCCAGGTGTTATTTTTTCTAAAATCCTATATAATTGCACATAAGGTATCCTCTGCCCAGATGTGAAAAATAATAGAACTTAATTGTATTTTTCTAGTTTCGTTACAATACGAGATAGTTATTAAGTTATAGTTAAGGCATCATGCTTATGTAATGGACGATGCGTAGTAAGTATGAGCCACTAATAGTTTACATCGACGGTTAAGGAGCAATTTTGATAAAAATAAATCCCAGGCCCAAATTGCCTATAGTTGTCAATAGTCCGGTTGTTTTGACGACAAAACATTCACTGAAACAGACACGTAGCGCTGGTGAGTTTAAATTGAAATGACTGTGGTTACATATTGTTGTAATCGTTTTCTATATTTGTATATTATTTTCATGTTTACGGTTTGTTAGATATTGTTTATATTCTTGATATTATCCGATGCCTGAAATCAGGTCTATAGAAATAAATTTGATTTGATTTGATCTGGTGCCTCTTGCCAGGTGTTATTTTTTCCTAATATTGCACAATATCCAAAATAATTGAATTTTTTCACCTCATTTATAATTTAGGACAAGAAAGGACGGATATACAGTCGAAACTATATATAGCAAAATTGAAGGACTTCTCTTTTTCGTTATAAAGAGACACTCGAAAAATAACTATATATAATAATATTATATACATATAATTATTATATATACATATATTTTATAAACATATTTTAACAATTACTTAGGAACATTTTATATAAATATCTAAGAACTACATTTAATGTTTCAAATAATCGGTCTTGTTCTTTCGAATTTTTTTAGTATGCCAATACGCATCTCGTACTTTGGCTTGTGTTTTCACCATTTCTTCGAGAGGGGCATGTTCCCCATGATATATAAAAATTTCTGTAGCAGCTTAACTGAATATAGGGCTTGTTAAATGGTTGGTGGTGGTTCCAGATCAGCTTCTTCATCTTCTTCTTCCTCTTGGTGCTCTTCCTCACTCTGTCTTGCTTGTTGTAACATGGCTTCCTCTGTCAAGTCTGCTGTTGTAGGCAAATCCTCATCTATCACCATAAAATCTTGGAACTACTCACTTGTAAACTTCCAAGTCCTGTTCGCATTCTGTCTCGGTAATAAGTCCTGCATGTTAATGAAAAATTTGTCTTCGGACTCGATCATTTCCATTAAAATGATCCGTCGATTTGGAATATGTGGAGGGCAGTTGCCTAAGAGAAGCAATATTTTCGTCTCCTTTAATTCTGCATCCCATTTCCGTATCTCCTCTCCAAAGATCTGCGATGTCATCCATTCAGACTTGTAAGTGACCGGCAAATGTTTGATATTCTCAAAACATCGTGGGTTAGTTCATTTTTCAATCACGACTAGCTTTCTTTTTTCTCTCCCACTCATATTGGCAGCTACTAACACTGTTATATGTTCTTTAGAAAGAAAGGTAAGAGACTCAAGTCAATTTGTTTCCTTTTTTTTTTTCGATTTAGATAGTGAGAAATTCGTTGTACAGAGTGAATTAAGCCTTCTATGGATACCTGACAGTACAACAAATTTGGTTGGTAATACAGAGTTTTACGTTATACAGGGTTTCGCTATAGCGAGTTTTCACTGTATATACTTTATAGTTAAGGCATCCTGTATAAGAGATCCTCTGTCTAAATGCTATTGATTCGAATGGCATAAGGGCAGAATATTAAAAATAATAGAATTTAACTTACAGTCAAGGCAGCATATGTAATGTAATGTAATAATGCAATTGATATATATATAGATATAGCTCGACCATAGCGTATGATTGCGGATAATAAATAATAGACGTGGTCTGGGGTTAGTCTTACCTCAGGCAGTTCGTCCGGAACTTTGCCCATCCACGTCAGCGATAGAATGGGACAGTCGCTCTTCGCGTTCACGGTCCTCTCAAAGTGTAGGTGCATGGTAAGCGTCGCCGCGAGCCGACCAAAAAGAAAAACAAAACACTCGCGTCCTACGCGACACAAAAAAGCTCTCGTCTCGATCTGTCGATCCTACGTCCGCACGTCATTGTTTATAACAAATGCGGGAGCGACGGGACCCGCCGTAAATAATTGCCGAGAGCGCCCGGAAAAGTGCGCCTCTTGCCTGGCATACCTCCGTGCCTATCGATTTTCCCGTTTTCCGTGGAAATTTTACCCCGACTTCGGCGCATGTCGCGGGAGAACGTTTTCCACCGAAAACGGCGCATTCCGCGCCTGGGGGCCGACGGCTGCGCCCTGGGGCTCCGTTTTTACTCGCGCGTGTTATTTCTGTATAGGGTGGTCGGTCGAAAACAATCGGGAAGCCTACGATGCGGCCCGTTTAATAGTAACAGATTTACGTCAGTGTAAGCAAATTAGGAAAACGTGCAGCAGAAGGCTTAAAATAAATCACAGCCATCCCGGAAAAACCGAAGTACTATGAAAGCCTCATTTAAAAATAAGAATCATTGTGCCAGAGAGCAAGCAATAAGCCTTATACAGGGTAATCGGAAATTGAGTTCGGAAACTTGGAAGAAAGATTCAAAGTGGCAAAATAATGGTAGTAGGTCATGTGACAAAAATTCGTGGACACACAGCCCTGATTTAGCAAAAGTCATCTTTACAAAATAAATGTGTTTCAGAAATCTGTCACTTTACCTAGAACATTTTTTTTTCTTTTGCCTCTGTTTTATTTATTTAGCCTGATATATCAACATAAAACAGATTGCCTTAAGCAGAATCACAAATCCTCAGAAATTGTTACTCTTATTTTGAGTCGATAAGTATTATCGTTTAGCCACAAATGGACTTTTTTATTCTCGTCCTGAATACCCCACACTTCTAATTTTCACAAAGGTGATACTGGATATCGTGATATGCATTTCTGTTACAGAAAAGCAAATGGAAATGACGGCCAGCATTATTAACCTGCAGGCGACGTGCATAAAATTTTTCAAAACGGTGTGCTACACATTAAAAGTGAAAAATGGCATCAGTCAATGCAATAACATGTTTGATTTAAGTAACATAAATAGATTTAACATTTTCGAAAATAAAAAATGATTAATTAATTTCATTAAATTTTTAAACAACGCTAATTACAATTCATTTTTAAAATGCCCACCGTTCATTTCTAAACATTTTCTTATACAAAATACGCCTAGCCTATTTCTAATGATTTCGCAACCGTTTATTATTTTTTGTCGTAGATCACTGATATCTGTTATAGGCGTTTCATACACTAAAGACTTTAAGTGCCCCAAAAAAGAAAGAAATCTATCGGATTAAGGTCCAGCAAAAGTGGGAAAAATTGCATAAAGAAATGAGGTCCTATAAGATTACCTCCTATAATCCCTGCCCATACACGGAAAGAAAACATACAGTGATTGAACCCATGCAAAACTTCGCAAGCTGTAGAGCAAGCAATTCTTTCCTGAGCAGCAGTAGGGGAGATCGGTGACGGTTGTAACAAATAATAGAATTTAATTTTTTTTATCCAATATTTACATTTTATCTCAATTATTTGTATCCCAGTGAATCTGCTACATATTTGTGAGTAGCACAATGTTTTTTTAAGTATTGAAAACCAAAAAGACATTTTATAAAAATAATATCAAAGACGCCAGTGACAAGTGTTACAAACTACACCCAAAGGGTGTCAGTTATAACATATATAGGTGCCTGTTCTAACATAAAAACATTTATAAAAAGCAATGAAAATAAACAATAATTAGATTAGATAAGCTTTAATGATAAAAATATAAACAAAGGGTACATACCGTACAGTTATATTTTCAAATAAATAAAAAGTAACATATAACCAAAACAACATGCTTTTAATAAACAGTAGAAAAAAACATATCTAAGGCAGAAATAAAAAATATAAACCCAACAAAATTTGTTGTTAAAAAATAAAACTTTTCAAAACTTGTTCTTAAAAAATAAAAGATCTTAGTCAGAATACTCAGAGTCTACCGAGTCTCATTTTTTACAAATAGATTTTTCGCACATCTAGAATTTCTTACACTCCACTCCAAGACAGACTAGACGCAGAGCGTCTTCCTCTTCTGATGATGACGATGTGTCTTTGTTCACAACTTTTTGTTTCTTATTACCTTTGTTTTTGTTTGCTTTTGTCCCCATCACATTTCTTTTAATACCTTTTGTATTCTTTTTATTAGTTCGATCTTCGATTAGCATCTTTTCGGGAGTATCAGTAAGAATGGAAGTCTTGCCCCTAGTCTTCCAGTGCCTTTTGGCTTTGAAAAGTCCGTCTTCGGCAACGGCCTTACGTCTTCAGGTGTTAGTGGCAAAAAATATTCTCTTAATTTTGTATGAGATGATGACGTTTTACCACCTTCTCTTAATTTGGAGTTTAATCAGTTAGAATGGAAGCCTTGCCCCTTTGTCTTCCAATGCCTTTTGGCTTTGAAAAGTCCGTCTTCGGCAATGGCCTTACGTCTTCAGGTGTTAGTGGCAAAAGATATTCTCTTAATTTTGTATGAGATGGTGACATTTTACCACCTTCTCTTGAAGGTTAATGTAACTGCAGAAAATCGGCAACTTGAGAATCCAAAGTTGAGCATTTCTCTTTGGAATCTGAAGAATCTATAATAGTAAGTGAACAACTGAGTGCTGCAGAATGTAATGTTGAGGGTTGTTGTATGAACGAAGTTGAAAGTTCCGAAGAAGATGAAAGTTTCATATTGAGCGTTGTCATTCAGTTGAACTTGAAAATTAATTAGAAGGCGAAGAGATAACAGGAATAGCATCATCAGAGTCTAATGTTACGGATAGTTGTTTGGATGGAGCCAAAGACTTTTGGGAAGGTCAAAAGCGAACAAGAATAGTAGAGTTTATTGATAAGTCCGGTAGATCCCCTTCTATGATCTTTATTATCAGTCAATGGCCTATCAGTTACGGTGCTAGGTGCAAATTCGACCTTACTAAAAATATTTCTATGAAATGCCCAAATTCCGGCGCATTTGAAGCCAGACATAACATCTTTGGGAGTTATGGCTTGAAGTAGAGCTTCTTTGATAATTCCAGGCCATTTAGCCTTTCTGACAGGAAAAAGGGTCTAATTAAGTAATTTCCAACAACTCCAGCCTAAAGATTTACGAAAAACTGTTGTTGATGTTTCAAATTCTGTAAACTGCCTTTGGTTTTCATCGGCCCAAATATGGTTTTTGTGAAAATTTCTGATTGCATTTCAGGAAAAGTTAGCATCACTGTAAATAGTATAGCTCTGTGCAATTTTGTCCAAAAAATCATTGACGAAAACCGTATATCGGATTGAAAAAATCAAGAAATTAAATTTCTTTAGAAATAATTGGAGTAAGAATAATTTTTATTTTAAGAGAAATCAGTGGCGTACCATCAATGTCTGACAAAATTTACAGGTGAAATTCCGTACCCCCGCAACTGGTGTATATATTTTTTTAATTGTGCAATGTGTGCCAAATATTATTAAAGTGATATTACAGATTTTATTTTTGAAAACTTTATCACCCTGTATTTCAAAAGTTAAAACGTTTAAGACATACATATGTTCATATGTTCATGATTTCTTTTTAGAATGGACCCAAAAATCTCCCCCTTAATTATTGACATTCAATCAGAAAGCGCACTATATAAACCATATCAATTACTTCTGCTTTAGGAAAATCCATACTTAGTTTTTTTTTTAATTTACTGGCTCCACAATGAAATTTACGAATTTATTTACTCGGTTATCATAAAAATTTGATAATGTCATTTTGTCATGGCCCCCTCATGTTATATCAATAGCGTTGGACAGACAGAAGGAAAAAATAAATCCCAAAATATTAAAAATAGGTATATGACATTTAATAAAAGTTGCAGGTTTTTGTAAGATCTTTCAAAAAAATATATATAGAAGAAAATTTAAAAAAATATTTCGTTTATTTTGAACATCCTGCAGCATCCAATTCAAATTCCTTCAAATAATGCTAATATCATATGCGAGTGATCTTTAAAAGTAATGGTGCTATGGTAATTTTTTGTGTTGTATGAAAATTAGTTTTTTTTAGAAAATTTAAAACATTGGAAAAACTAATAGGTTTACGTATGTATTAATATTAATTTAAAAAATGTATGTTTTATCCGTTACGCTTTTCTAAGCCACCTTGTATACTTTAAAATAATTTTAAATTGCACACCCTAACGATCTTTAAATCTTTCGTATTTTCCATTTTCTGATAACTTTTGAAACGAACTGTCGTTCACTAAACCTGGACAGATAATTAAAAATATAATAAAATAATAAAATATAATTAAAAATAATTATATTTTTTTAATGGTTTGTTATAATTTAAAATTGATTAAAACAATTTCTAAGTTATAAATTTTGTGTTTATTTTTATTTAATTTATAAAAAAAAATAAATGGAAGGTTATTGTCACATCTATGAGATTTCAATTTTTTTTCTGTTGGTATTTACGATACAAAACAGTTGTGGCTTCAGGGAGCCCTGCCTGAACACTACTACAAACTTCGCAGAATTTTTAAAATTAAAATTTGTTCTTTAGTCAAAGGAACTTCCACAGGTTAGTGTAATACTATTTAAACATCTGGAATCCTCCTGCTGCGATTGTTGATTAATTAAACTTGCTGAAGTTTTCCCAATCACTTTTCTGGCTTCTTTAGAGCTTTACTGAAACTGGCAAAAGGAGGGGCATGAACGTTATTTCGGATGACTGATTATTGAAAGATAAAGACCTGAGTCCTGGTCAGTGTTGTTTTGGTAAAAGCAAGGATTTTAGTTTGGTCGGTTTCATAATCGTGTCCGGCAACTTATAATACGTTTATTTGTCGGATGACTGATTCCCATATTGGTGACAGGTACAGACTTGAGTCGGGGCTAAGATTGTTTGGTTGATTTCTATCGAATCCCAGACTTTTCGTTGGTGGAAGAATTGATTATATGCAAGAATTTTAGTTTTATCGAATAAAATTTGATGTTCGGTTTCGTAATTTTGTTCGGCAACTGCTGATACCTTCGTTTATTTGTCGTAATCTGAATGCTTTTTCATGTTCCTTGATCCTAGTTGATATCTTTCGTCCGATTTCTCCAATGTATTTTTTCTAATGCTAAAACACTTGGTATTTCAAACGAAATTTTGTCGTTGATGAATCAAGATGTTGAGAGATTTTTGAACTGGTAAATCCGGTTTTTGTGTGATATTTCTTAAAAACTGTTGATATATGGTCAAGTGATGTTTTAAATGTAAGGAAGGACCACAGTGACAAGTGTGGAGTTGCTTTCGGGCTCAATGTCTTTGGAAGGTTGTGGTGAAGTGTATTTTATGAGAGAACGCTTAATATCTCTAACGTAGAAATTATTAGAGAGAAGAGCAGATGTAAGGTGATTTCATTCTGGGTAAGGTGACTAAACCTGAAATAGTTTTGCGGTTGTGTAAATAAGAGGTGCGACATTGCATTAAGGTATGGTCTATAAGAAAATCTAAGAATGTGAGATTATAATTAGTTTCCAATTTATTGGTAACACGTATTGTGTAGTACTTAACATGCTAAGAAAATCTTGAGGGACTCTTGACCAAGAGGCCAATTAACCAAGGTATCATCAACGTAGCGTTTCGACAGTTTTGGTTTAGATGGACGACGTTTGTTCAAAAATTTGACCCTTACAACCGTTATGTTCCAGGCAAGCATTTTTCTAATAAGATGAGAAGGTTTAGTCCCAGATTCTCGGATTTTAATATATCTGAAATAATGTTGAAGAGTTTCAGGAATAGGGACTACCAGAACGGATTTAATGCAATGGCTTTCAATTGTTCAACAAAAGGAAAGGAGTTAAGAACGAAACTACCAATTTTCCCTGTAAAGGATTTTAATATAGAAGCTAGATAATTTGCTGGAGAACCAATGGTGCTCACAATAGGTTGAAGGGGTAATCCTAGTTTGTGAATCTTAGAGAATCCGTTGAGACAAGGGGCGACAGACTTTTTCCACGGTTCCAATAGAGAATAACCCTTAATGACAGATTTAAGGTTGCGTTCCAAATATGACGTAGGATCTTTTTTAAGTTGACGATAGGATCCGTCTGTAAGAATATCTTGAATGTTTTCCTGAGATTAACATCTCAATATATAAGCAATTACAGAGTAGAATGCGAGCCAGTTTCACTTAAGTTCTGCAGGAACAAACAGGATGATCCAGCAGATTTGTAAATAGTAAAATAATTGAAGGGCTCTTGCAGGAAAAAATAAAACCGACTTCCGTAGACCTACATAAATAGATTTTAATGTAGAACTCCTTTTTTTTTTCAAAAAAAAATTACATACAACTTATTGCAGAATAATATCAACCAAACAACATCCTCACGCTCGCACGCAACAATAAAAAAGGTACACTTTGTAACTTTGAAAAAAGATCCATCCCTTACTCTTATGTTAAACTTAAACTTACAAATATATAGAGAATTTTTACCGAAATCTTCAGCACGTTAATACTAAATTTTAATGCATAGTCAAACAATAAATACAATTAAAAAAAAAACTACATCGAAGTAGGAGACCAAAAGTTCATTTCGCGCAGCTCGGAAGGCTTGGGGGTGTACACGTGGGTCCTCTGCTTGCCGGTACCGGTTACATTGTCGACGCTGGCACTGCTACTGGCCCTTTCCAGCTCGGCTTTGTTCTCCTCGTGGATGAACCCCATCGACTGGGAAATCTCCCGTCTGGCCAGCAGATTCGACAAAATCCACCCCTTCGACTTGTCCGTTTCCACGTAGGGACTGGTGAAGTACTTATTCACCCTCCTCTGGCTCTTGGGCGAAGCCAACGGAGACGCGGGCAACGATTTGCTACCCCTGCGTCGGTAAGGATCGAACTTGGCGAGCAATTGCTCGCACTCTTCAGCGGGCTCCGGAGGGTTACCCTGCAGGGGTTTCCCGGAAACGATCTGATTCGCGACCCGCACGATCGTGTTGCCCACCTGCGCCGTTTCGCCCTTGAAGCCGTCGTCTGTACCCTTGGGTTTGGGCTGTTTGAGAAACGCCGCCGACTGCTGAGCCAAGCTCGGTTTGGAGAAGTCCACTTTCTTGGTCGACTGCGAGGACTGGATCACTTTCGTTTCCGTCATGTTTTGGGCGTCGTTCTTCGGTTTTGGCGGGTAGCGGTAGTAGTGCATGAAACTGTCGTCCAGCTCCGTGGGCGAGAATGCGTTTTGGTCCAAGTCGAACCTGCGAACGAGACAAAGTGACCTTTAGCGAGCGCAAGGAACGCCCGAAATCAGGCAACCAACAAAAAAGCATCCTAAAATTAAATCTGATTAGCATTTTCCTCTATCACGTAAGGCTTTTTTATCAACAATAAAAGAATTAACAAATGAAAATCTCAGTTGATTTGATCATTATTTTTATTAGTGCAAAACCCGGACTAAAAAATCTTAATTAAATAACAAAGTCTCAAGCATTAGTTAAGTCCATTCATTTTTGGTCGAAAAACTTCGTCTGTTGTCCCTTTTTAATGATTAGCAGTAATCTGCCATCACTGGACATTATTTGAGGTTCCTTTTCTTTTATATATTTTCTAGAAAAGTGTAGTTTTATACCCATCTTACATTTCCATTAAATTTCAATAACATGATTTGTACAATGCCTTCGTAATTGTTTCCTAAATGTTCTCTTGGATGAGTATTGTAGTCTGTACCAAGTTTTTTTATTGATGCGATAAATAATAAATGAATTACTTTGTTCAAAATGTCTCGCGCTTAATGAAATATAAGATAATTTTTGTTTGGAGGTCTAGATGCTAAAATTTCATGATCCTTAGGTAAACCTGTCTGTTACCAAGTCAACGATGACAACGAATTGACTACATATCTGGAAATCTCAGAAACTGAAATCATTTTCAGAGATTTTCCGCTAACATTCTGTTAATTTATCCAAAATATATGCCAGTTGGGTAGCAATTTCAATTTTTAGAATGTAATATTATGTAATGCTATGTAACGTTAAAACAATAAATATGACATCAAAAATTAATTCAATAATGTTGAGAGACAGAAATTAAAAAAAAAACATTGTTTTTCTATTAGTTTAGTCCCTATAACTCTAAATATGTTAAAAATGTCAAATCCACAGTCTTTGGTGGCCTCCGTTGCTTATTTAACGCAAATAAACAGATCACAGGATTTGCTTAGTTCGTTATATCGCTTCTTTGATTTAAATGCATTGATTAAAAGCAAATAAAATGAGTTTAAATACAATGTCGCTTCATTTACCCAACGCGGCACCTGTGTCATTGTGCCCTTTGTTCGCGGTGATTGCAAGTCGTAAGTTGTTTGCGTTTTTGGAGGGAAAGGCGTTACAGTTATTATGGAAATGGAAATATTCTTAATTAATTGTGGGGGCGTAAGTACTTATAAAAATTAAATCTTTTAAGCTCATCAGCTGCCTACCTGTTCGCATTGTTTATTCAGAATAAACTTGTTAGATACTAGAAACATATTGATAAGTTATTTAAAGCAAATAAATATTCACTTGTTTGAACTTCTAATTTGTATGTTTTAATTCAGCTCATATAACATTACCATAAATACTTATTTATCTAAAATTACAGTATGCGTATTTCTTTAAAAAACATATATAAATAGGCAAACAATATTTTTGATTTTTTGTTGTTTTTATTTTAAAAAACAATTTGAATGTTAAAATTCGTACCAATTTTGTCCTACTCTGCCCTTTTGTTAGTTTTATCACCCTATTAATTATTATTTTAACCTTGAAAATCATCGGATGCTGTGATGTGAATACAAATTGTCATAAAACTAACACTTCCAAAATATTTTAGTTATTTGCAGTTTTCTAAGTTTCAGTTTAAGTTTAAATTCGCCTTAAACGAGGTATCTATGAGCTGCCGACGAATACCTATTATAACAATAATGATTTATTTCCAAAATAAATTACACTTGTATTTAATAGCATTTCATTTGTTGTATTAAACAGGTTAATTGTTATAGTTTTTGTTAGCTGACAAACTCATTTTGTGGTTTAGAAGCAAACTAGCCAAGATAAGCGCCGACAAAAAAATGCTTTTCGAAATCTATATAGTTTATAATTTTTAAAAATTTTGTTAATGTTTCAGCTTACTAATGAAGAGTTATTTATTAATGATTTGCTAGATTTTTTTTAAACTACACTTACCATTTCCCAAAGTTCAATCTAAAAAGTTTAGAGACTTTTAGGTAAGAATTTAAACATAAAGTAAGCAAATTGAGATGATATACGATCAACCAACTCTTATGGACATCGAATCATGAAATTCTCGATTCAAATTTTAAAAAATTTAATGTAAACTAAACGTGTTTCACCCAAATAAAAGTAGTTATTTATATCACGATATACTTTATATATCACAAATACTTTTATACTATTCAGTTAATTTAATGTTAGTACCTTATTGTATTGATTGAAACAAGTTATAATATATTTTGAAGTTACTTTTAGGAAACATTTGTTTAAAAGTAGCCAAACAAATATTTATTTGAAATTTTGAAAAAATGTATTACAATTATTTATGCTTAAAATAATCAAAGTATCAAATGAATATTTACCACCTTTTTAACGGTTGGTCAGTCAGTCAAAAGATGTTTTGACCCATTTAAACGAAAAACAAACTTTTTTTTTTCAAAAAGACGAAACCGTTTTGAAAAAAAAACTAACTGCGCTACTGAATACGACGTAAAAATCTATATCGGATGCGCTTTTGACCTTTCCTTTTCATAGGGTACCCCAGATACGAGGGGTACCCCAAAAGTTCAGATCTCCAAAATCGCCCTGTAGATTAAAAACTAAGCAGGTCATGAAAAGTGTGTTAACGTCATCTTTCGTTTCACAGTAACGGACATACCCCTCTGTCTAGACCCAAATGAGACACAGTGTACGTAAAGGTAGTGTTGATATCATTTAAAGGGCAACTGTAAATGACATCAACAAAAAAGTAGGTGAATAGTTTTTTTAATTTAAGAATTGTATGTTATGTAAGTTGCTATTATTTGTATCAATGGCATGGTTGAATTATTAATTGTATTATTTTTTTTTAATGGCAAATAATATTTTGTCACTCTCAGATTTTTATGTTTTGCTATTTGATGTGTAAGTATCAAAAAGTTTTCAAATAGGCCTGTGGTATAGGTAAAAAATTATAGGATTTCTGAAGAACGGGTTTATTGGTATTGGTATTGGTATTAAAGGGGGGCGCCCTCGCGGGCGTCCAAGCACTTAGGCCACCAGATGGGCCCGTTGTGCCCCCAGGCCGCTCTAGAGGGCGTCCAGAATGCCGCCCCTCCTGTAGAAGGTCAGCAACTCCTTTAGCCCAATACCATGCACTGAGTCCGGATCGATCAGGGCGGGTTTAATTATAAAGAATTAGTTTTATTTAAAATAACATTAATGCTCATAATTTTGCATGTAATAAAAATGCTAATTTACATTTTCTGTTCATTTCGATTCATATGTTCTGAAAATTAAGCAATTTAAAAAATATAATAATAATAATAATAATAATAATAATATTAATAATAATAATATAAATATTATTCCTCCTGTGGACGTTTCAATTAAGCTCTAAAGAAGCCAACAGGATGATTGGTGGTGTTGGAATTAATTTATAGCGTTTTGATAACAGGTGGCGCTAGTGATACAGATTTTCTTTGTGATTTTTTTAATATATCGGAATTCGTGCCGAATAAACTGTTTTTGCGAGGAATTTTGCTCCATTGTTTTAAAATGGGTAGAAGTGCTGCAGAGAGTCATCATATTTTGGTAGAGGTTCATGATGAACATGTACTAGCTGAGCAAACATGTAGAAAATGGTGTGCACGTTTTTAAAACTAACCAAAAAATTCGAAGATGAAGAATTTGAAAAAGATTCATGTCAGAGTCTCCAAGAATTGTCAACTTCACTAGAAGTTGACATTTCCAACGTCGGAAAGCGTTTAAAAAAATTAAGGATGGGTCCCATATGAATTAAAGTAAAAAAATATTGGAAAGCGATTTTTGATTTGTGGTTTACTGCTTCGGTGGGAAAAAAGAAAAGGATTTTTGCAACGTATCGTCACGGGAGAGGAAAAACGGATTTACTATGACAATCCTAAACGAAGAAAGTCTTGCATAGAACCTGGTAAACCATCAACACCAGTGGCGAAAAAACATATCCACGGATCGAACTCTTCAAATGAGGATTATGTAGAATGGGTGGACTCATAGATCGCATTTACTAGCAGTTTTCCGGGCGTGGGATCGGTCGTTTACCGGAAAAACTAGAAATAGATGGTAGAAAGTAATGGAGAATATTTCAACTAATGTATGTTGCTATTCATTTTTAAAAAATATTTTTTTCGATTAAAAAAAATGTTATGAATTAATTCCAAGTCCTACTATTTCATTTTGTACTGCTATGTTGAAATTGGTTAACAATTAAAAGTGAAAAAATGCTATACACCGACATTTTTTAGCAATTATCTCAATGATGAAATAATAATGAAAATAAAAAATCAAAAAGGCAAATGAATAACGAACATAAAAAAAATAAAAAATTGACAGACTGTTGTTTAATTAGTTGAACTGAGGTGACTTTTACTTGAAAATCCATTTATCAAAATAAATAAGAACTAAAAGTTCAGATTTTTACGAAATTATATATTATGACAAGACAATTGTTTCGACAACACCGGGTCATTATCAAATGTAATATCTACAAACTACCTGCTACTATATATACCGAAAAATGACCATAAAAACTTAATTATCGTTGTTGCGAGAATTTAAGTTCAGTAAAGGAGAAGTATTTAAATCTAATTGAGCGTTAAGCAATACATTTGAATGTCTCATTTTGTTAATCTACTTTTTGTCGCTGTCTGTAAAATATCTAAATTGTCGTCAAAAATGTGTTTTTCTGTGTTTAAGTGTGTAGCATAATTAGAATCTAGATTATTATTTTTAAACGCTCTTTCTTATATGTTCGTTAATGCGTTTCTTGAAGGATCTACCTGTTTGGTCAATATAAATTTTAGGACAAGATCCACATTTTAACCTGTAGACACCTGATTTTTGGGATTTTGGACATTTCGATTTATTGTTTTTTAAATATTTTCCAATTGTGTTGTTAGTTCTGAAGGCTATTTTTAAACCACATTTTGACAAATGTTTTGAAACTTTTTCGCTAGGTTCTCCTAAGT